ATAAGGAGGAAGAATCCCCCTAGCCTCACCGATGTGGGATGCTCCTGCATTGCTACAGGAGCGGTGGGTTTAAGAGACGCGGATTTGACCGGCTCGAGGGAACGATGAGCCCCATAAACCTAACAGTCCAGCCGGTGAATACTATCTTGTTTTTGGCAAACAATAAATTTTTCATCTCTTGAGACCAATCGTTATAGTTGTTGTCAGAGAGAACATCATTCATGTGCATCTGCCTTGGTAGTTTGAGGTGTGGATATAGTATGGAGAGTTAGAGTCGTTGAGGCCTCCATCCTTCTTTGGATCATTATTGGTTGAATCTTTTTCGGTCATGGCACCACTGCTATTGTTAGGATTTTGTTTTGGTTCTGTAAAATCTGCTCTGATATCATAAAAGTTTTATGAGTGAAAAAGATTATTTCATCACCAAATACAAATTTATACACCAAAATTACAACAAGACCTACCTATAATAAAAGAAACAAAAAAGGTAGACTACAACAAACAGTGGTTAATAAACAGGAAGTGATAGCCACAAAATATGCATAGTAAAATAGGGGATACGGTTTCTTTTACCATGTGCTTTATAGAAGACCAATAGATGCAATGGGACAAAATAACTCCAATAAAAACAAGATTTCATAACTCCAACCATCATCAGTGAGACTAACATCATCTGCACTACTACACGCCAATTATTAAGATCTATAATACCATAATACAAACAACTAATTCATGTTTAAAAAAATATGATCAAACGAAAGAACCATGTCCAAAATTTTGTAATTTAATCTAATAACAGATGTCATTGGTATTTTGAGCTAACATAAGAAGTTACCCCAAAATCTCATAATACAAATAAGTCGCCCAAACCTAGAAAATCGTCTGACTGGGAACTTCTAAAGTCATTTTTTTTTTCAGTCATAACAATATTTCCTGCAGAATAGATGGAAATTTTGCATTGCACAAGCAAAGGACCTTTGACCACAACAAGTCAACAAGCATTAGTTAATCAAACAAGATTTTGAATTTTAAAAAACAAATACAAACATTAAAACATAAATGATGATGTGCAAAATGAATGAGGATGTGCAGAGACATAGTCGATTTCAGAGTTCATTGTAAAATGGAAGACAGTGACTTTCAATAGAAATGCAAAAAAAAATTACAAATAAAACTGTTGGGTTATGGTATCTCAAGAACAACGGAAAATAAAACCGTAATTCTCCAAGGAGCCATACGAACTAGAACAAATTGGGTGTTTCAAAATTATACCTTACAGTTAGAGGGACTTTGAATCACAACAACAAACAATTTCTTATATAATGAACTAACTACTACAATTTCTTATAGTTAGGAGACTTCGAAGTTACTAACTACTATAATTTCTTATATAATGAATTTGAAATTTCAAACCCTAACCTCTTCGTCGAAAATTTTGAACTTTTTTTTTGCCATTCTTTTTCGATATGCAATTGATTTCACAGTTTAGTGTATTTGCATCATTGATCACAATCTCATTTATGATTACACCAATTAAAGTG